CTCTTCCCTCACACTGAGCGCAGCGACCACCTGCATTCCTTGGACACGGGTGTACGCAGCAGTTCATGTCTACAAACACACAGAAACTGGCCACGTGACAACAGCGACACAGTTAAGGAAAGCCTGAAGGGAAGTACACGTAGACCTACCTCTCACCTCCTTCACAAATCCCCTGAAGGACCTGTCAGCCTCACGGAGCATGAGGAACGATTGCTCTGTTCACGGGGCGCAGGCTACGAGACCTGCAGCAAAGCAGCCTCCCGCAGCACATCTGCCAGGGAGATCGGCTACCGAGAGCTGATCCGCCACCCAGCACCCACCTCCAGGACCATAACTCCCCAAAAATATGAAAAAGGGGCACAGATCTAGGGGAAGGGCTCGTGCTGTGTGTTAGGCTCAGATTATACAGGCCTCAAAGATAAATAAAGGTAAATTTATGGTGTTTCAAATGGAAAGATTATTTTTTTGTCTCATTTTATTCCTTAAATAAGGAATAATACAGAAGCTGTTATTCAACTGTGCAAATTAAGCCTCATCTCCTGAAAAATGCACCACTACCCAATTCCTACTCTTTTGTGCAATTCTCTATTTCAAATAAGTTATACAAAGCTGTAGCTGACCTTAGCCAAACCCTAGTAAGTTCATTCCAAGGAGTTTGCTTGGGTTTACTTAATCAGTTAAGGCAGTTCAAGTTTTTAAGTCATCTCAGCTTAACTGCAAGATCGCCCCAAACCTCTGGTTCTTGCAAGGAGACCAAAAACATTTCTTCAGATGAAAACAGACCTGACCCATATCCCCATGGCACAAGAAATATTTAAAATGCAAGAAATATTTAAAACGCAGATAGTTAGTTAAGGAGCTATATGCTACTTTTATTGGTAAAATATTTTTTCTAAGAGCAAAATACTGTAGTTTTATTTTATAAAAGTTAGCAAAAGTTGATACATTTTTTTAAACAGAGACAAGAAAACTATTTCTACATTCATTCAATTATTCAGCTCTCTTTTCAATATGGAAGCTAGAGGTACGCACCACATTAACAGATTTCAGTGCCAGACAAGTTATTCAATAAATATATCATTCTACCATTAAAATCTATGAATGACAGTGGAAAAAATTCATAACTACTGAAAAAATATAAGCATTTTTGGTTTCTTCTGAGGTTTCAAACTAGTAATATCTACACACAATATAAAACTATTGGCATTTACAAGAAAGACTGTATAGAACAGTAACAGCAGAATTTGTTGGTAGTAAACATGAAACTTGTTTCCTCTTCTGTTACTGACCAACAGCAGTACATTTCTCTGAGAATTAATTAATTCAACCTATTTCTTTGTCTACAGAAGATACCTGCATGGCAAGGAGTTGGTAGGGGAAACAAAATCTTACTGGATAAGGACTTTGCATTTCCTAACTTGCAATAAAAAAAAAAGAAAACAAAACCACAAAGAAACACCCTGTATTGTGATCCTTTAATGCATATATTAAACACTGCCCATTTGTTATGGATAGAAGTTAAATAAAAAACAAGTAATTTCATTCCTATTTCACCCTATTGCTAATAAAAACAAACAAAACCATGGAACTTTTGCCATAGGGAACAGATTCTGGTTAGATTCTGCTATGCACACAGCCATAGTTTTAGAAGACAGTTACGCCAGTTTTCAGAGGTGAAATTCATTCCTTATTACATCAGTCTTCTGAAAAGCTATTTTTTTCTGTGAAAAATTGAACATTTGAGACTAAGCTCAGAGATGATACAAATGGCAAGGCAAGTTCATGCACCACTTAGCCATTGTGTACCAAGCGATAGGAATATATGACTGATGCTAGAAGGAAGAAATAGCAGGAAGGCATATACAGAATATTTTCTCTTCTGGAAAAAAAAAATCCCTTTGCTTCCATAAAACTGCTATTGTTGATTTTCGGTTTATAAACAATACTGCGGGAGATGTCAAAATGTGTATACACAGGTATTAATTTCTATTTATGTATTTTTATTATTTTCACGTCCCACTAAGTTCCAAAATGAGATTTTTATTTCTTTTTTTGTAGTTCAGCCCATTAATAAATCTTAGTGTTGGGTGGACATAAAGAAAGGGGAAGACAAGGATAATCATCGCACATCACAGAGCTTAAATTAACAAGGACAGACGACCAGTCTTCAAAAAAGCACCCTAGCAAGGCAACTGAGTAACACGCCTGGCCTTGCAGACTAGCACCTGCAACCTTGCACACCAAACACTGCCATGCTGAGTTAGAGAAGCAGTACCACTAATGCTGGCCATCCCTGAGTGCATACAAGCAGCAGAGTATGCGTCTCTGCACCTTAACTGGGGAACTAAAGACTTGAAACAGGTGGAAATTACTCTTTGATAAAACTGTAGTGAGATCCAAATCCTCTAGATAAAAATTGGATCAGATTTGCGCTTTGTGGAAATAAGACATGAAACAGACATACGCCACTGGAGAGTGGACCATGTCCCTGAGGATGTATTTTCCTTGAATTTATGTCAAGACTGAACTAAGTGTTGGGATATTTGTTCCGTGGGCTTCTGTGAGCTTGCAGACCAGATCCAAGTCAGAGGGAAGAAACCATTATTTACTAACAACTGTACTTACATCGTTGTCTGCCTCTTTCCTTATCCTACAACAAAGACTACTAGAGAAGGGAAAAGAGTGAGAGCTATATATGACAAATTAGCTAGACGCCATTAACAATTGTATTTTCCTTTCTGGATATTACGGGTTACAATACCTGTTTTATCAAATTTCCTTCCCCACATAATATTACGGGTTACAATACCTAACTGTTTTATCAAATTTCCTTCCCCACATGTAACAACATACGCTTAACTAGCTACAAATCTTTCCCCAAGGAGGACCATCCCTTCTCTCCCCTTTCCTATCTCCTTTCCTGACGTGATGTGCAGCCAAGTCTTCTGTAATCAAGTTATTCTTTATGACTCACTGAAAAGGAGGGTGCTTTCAGGGGAGAGCACATCACAAACGCCAAAGGGAACAGCAGATGTCAGCTCTCTGGGAAGCACAAGTCCTACTTATACACATAGATAGGGTTTCTAGCTCTCCTGACAACTTTGGTCTTATGAGCATACTATTCAGTGCTGCTGACAGCTTGATGTAATAGGCATCTATGTGGGTTTTATAAAAACCTACTAAACTAAGGTTTGGAGACAGCTGTTAGAGGACTTCAGTCTGTGAGATTGATAGTGTCACCTTCACAGGGCTTCGCTGAAGTGGGACTCTGCGGAGGACTCCTTTTGCTCGATGGTGGCATGGCCAAGAGCCTCCTGCGCATGCCAATGGTAGTCTTCTTGAGGTCGTGCCGGAGGCTGCGGATTGTGCTGTTTATGGCAGCCACGCAAGCCTTCCAATCATGGCCAGTTTCTTTCAGATCAAAGGAGGGGTAGTTCTCTTGAAGAAAGTCTAACAATAAACAAACATACAAGAGCAACTTAGCAATTACTTAGGCAAGTTATATTCTCCTCATGTATTTTTACATATAACTAGACCAATATAAGTGCATGTTACCGAAACAGAAGAGCTGGGCACATTATTAGGCTTAAAAATTCAAAGCTAGAGAGCAGATTTTTCCCCCCTTCTCCTACTTGTTTTGGAATACTTACAAATAAAAAAGAGTCTATGGATTAAAAATGAAATATGTAATATCCTCTCCATCCCTGAGAGCAAGTTGAGACAAAAAATAACAGACGCTGGCCTCAGAGTTAGAGCACAAGATGGGAATTCCTGCAAAGCCTTAGCACATGGCTCACAAAACAGCTTTTTAATGATGCCTTTTCTTTTACAGAAGTCAGTTAATAATTAAGACTCCTGCAAGCCTGCGCAAAGCCCCTTCCTGCTCGACTGGATGGCGCTCACGGAGGAGATGCTGCCATCCAATCCGGCTATGCTACAGGGTTGAAGAAAAACAGGGTCAGAGGACAATTCCTCCCGGGCCAAATGACATGGTCTGGCTGCACCCATGCAGCCTCACAGCACTTGCTCTGGGACCCATTTGGTGTTCCTGCAGTCCTATGACACAATTTGTGCACTTTTTCAGCCCAAGTGTCACAAAAATACAGTATAGGAGCACGAGGAGATTAAACAGAAAGGTGCTGGCCCTCCTAGGTTAGTGCTCGAGGACACATAGGCTGAGGAAAGCTCACCTTGGCACCTCCCTGCTTATACTGGTCTATCGCGAATGGTCTCTGGCACACAATAACCCTCAAATCATGCCGAGGCACCATCCTGGAGTACAGGCGTGGAACGGACCCGTGGCAAGGAAAAGGCAAGTAATGCAAGTAAAAAGGATAACTAAACTGAGGTGGGGGGGTGAGTTCATCTAGCAGCACAAATGTAACCTCAGAGGCAAAACTGCCACACATCGGAGGAGCTATGAGCCTAGCAGAGCTCAGAGACCTTTTACTATAAAATCCAGATTTTAACCAACCTCCATATACCCTGAACACAAAGGAGTAACAGTTTCAAGATCTGTCAGCAGATGCATTTTGCAAGGTGTGCTCAATCTCCATCTGAAGAGACTGCAAGATCCTCTGGGAAATACAACCTTACTAACCCAGTGAGTTTTTGTCTCACACCGAGATCAAAAAGAAAGAAGGAAAGTCCTACATCAAACCAACAGTGCTGGGAGGACATAAAAGGCACTCCAGAATCTCACTGCCTGCAATGTGGGATCCAGCCTGGCAACTGACAACCCATAAAGCTTTAGAATTCCTCAAAGGTTCCCCCCCCCGCTCCCCGGATTGTATGCTGAGAAAGAATTACAATGCAAGAAAGACAGAAAAACAAATCAAAGACAGAAATATACTCATGTTGTTTGACCAAACCTTTTCAACTCTAAGATAGGCACAGAGCAAACAGCAGCCAAAAATCTGAAGACCTTTTCCCCTCAAAGAGGCAAGATACAAGGTACAGAATTAATTACTCCTGTTAATTTCCCCAAACTCCCTGCTGAGTAGAGCTCTTTTAACATACCTCTGAGAGCATTAATTCTGTTGCAGTCCAAGGGACTCATGCCACGTTCAAGATTACCGTACACATTGCTTTTCACCAGCACATCTTCCGTGAAGAGATGACGAATTAGGTAGCGAGCTGACAACTCCGGACGAGACTTCCCCTTAGCTACATAAATGACTGAGAAAGGAAGCTGAACATTGCGCCAAGGACTCCCAAGAAGTTCTAGAAAGGATGTTGGGAAGAAAAAACATTTTATTTATGCTATAGATCATGCTTTTACTGTAAAACTAGAACATTTTTGTTTTTCTCTTCATGAAACCTCTAGCTTAGGAAGACCAGAAGAAAAGAAATGATTGTGTATATATGGATCACACATTTCATCCTGAAAAAAACCTCAAACTTAAAATACAGCTGCTACTATCCTGCAATTGCTCTGGAATTATCAGACCTTACTAACGAACCCACTCTTGCAAAGCAGATGAAGGTGGAGAAGGAAGAAGCATAAGGAAGAATTTTTGGTGATATGCGATCTGTGAAATCTAGTGAGAGAGGAAGAGGAAAAAAAAAAAAAGAAAGGGAAAAAAAAAAGGCATTATTGCTCTTTGCTACCTTAAAAAACCTGATGGATTAAAAATTCATAAAAAGCTATGCACTCAAGTAGATGGACTGATCCTGCTGCTCTTAGAACAGCCGGGGTCCCTATAATCAACTATCAAATTGCAGACCGATGTCAAAATAGCAGAGGGGAAAAAAAAATTGCCTGTTCTACAGCAGCAGAACAGAACTTCTGATACACTTCCAGCAAAGCTAGTAATGCTACCTGCATTATTAATGATGACTTTCTGTATAGCTTTCATGCACGTGAAAAGAAAACATTATTCCACATAAATAAATAAAGCTTCATTACTGCAACGGTGCTTAGATCTCGCAAACATTCTGAAAAGAAAATGAATATTTTTAATCACTTCAACCTGACTCCACTGAAAACCTTACCTTAAAAAAAAAATAGTAGTAAATTGGAAAGTCTATGGAGTCACTGTAGTCCTAACAAATTTGGGATGCAGTAGTAAATCTGCTCGAGTCCCAGAATGATTTCATTTGAATTATTTCTGTGGTCAGCTAGGCTCAGGCCATTTCCCTGAAGATCTTTACAGCCAGCATATGCAGTATGCAGGATTTTCCATTGATGCATTTGTATATTGTCCTTTAATTTTTTGTTGTTGCAATAAAAAATGTTAAGGTGGCTTTAGGATTAGTTATTCCTCAACTGACAGTTCTATATAAAGAAAGATGTCGTCTTTAAGTTACAATACTACTTGATAGATATTTTGAGCCAGCTCATTCCACTACAGTAAAATATCTGTCAAGTAAGAAAATGGGATAACTGCAAAATAATTCTTGAAACAGTGAGAGAGTGCAAACATATAACTGAACTTCCCAGTCTTTTAGAGGATACATATTGAGAAGTGTGTAGATGAAAATGCGTGTTTTGTTAGACAGAAAATATTCCTGTTTTTTTGCAAGAAAACATACTAAACAGAAAGAGTGTGCTTGCCAAAAGAGGACAAGAGTCACATAGCTAATCCCTTTTGTTATATAATTTATCCTATAGCGCTACCTTCTGCTTCTTACCACGCATTTAAAATATTATACACATAAATGATAATTTCTCAGTTTACCCATAGGTTCCAAAGACTGGAGCTTCTTGACTGAAGGTGTGCCGAGAGCTTCTGGCAATTTATCCCATCCTGAATTCTGTAGTCTGTCAGTGGTGGCTGTTTTCTGAGAGTTTTGAGAATTGCCTTCACTACTCTCACTACAACTTAAATCCATATAAAAGGACGTATCTGAAGTCTCGGTCAATTTTTCTTTCCCTTCAGGTGTCTCCTGAAACATAAATGAAGTTAACAAATGTACTGGATTCTTTACAATAACATTTTAAAGGCAGAGGTAACTGGAATTACAGGTGTTTTGGCAGTGATGTTTCCAACAATATAAAACCCAGATATACACAACTAGATATGCAGGGTCTGACAACAGTACTAGCAGTTACACAGTTTAAGCTCTCAATCAAATCTACTGCTACTCATGAACAACGTTTACAGTATTTTCCTTTTAGTATCCTATGTCTTCCCCACTCCCAATTACTGAATTTGAAGCAGAAGAGCATGATGAAGCAGAGAAGGGGATATTCTGCCAATATGGTACTACTATGGTAGTGGTGTTGGAATCAGAGACCCATGCTAAACTATGCAAAGACAGAACCCAATGAGGCAGTCTCCAATTAGAACGCTCATGTCGTGAGGAGTTTAATAATTAACTAGAGGAAGAAGAACAAACAATATTTAATAACTGATCGCCCTGAGATAACTTACTGTGCGTATTTTTGTTTCAGAACGCAAACAGCGGATCATAGCATTGACGTTTGTGATACAGGTTTTCCAGTCTTTTCCATATTCACTCAAATCATAGTTTGGAAAGTTAGCTGCAAGAAACTCTGCATATAAAATGTAGAAAGATTGTTAAGCTTGATGGCAAGAAAGTAACATTTAAGAGCATTCTAATTTAGAAAGAGAATGCTAATAAATGCCTGCATTAGGAGCTTTAGATTTCTACCTTTTAAGATGAGATGGAAAACTTGGCTTCAAAGCTGAGCAGCACTACAAAGTTAAGATGGGTAACGATATTTTTGATGTGTTGTGAATAGTATTTTTATTATTCAGCATTTCCTGAATAATATATTATGATACATATATTAATATCCTCAATAACTGTATAATTTATCATATGAACATTTTTGTTAAAGAAGGACCAAGTAATGCTGATGCTGCAAATAATTCAGGTGGTTTAAAGGAACCTTCCCCATCCTTTAAAGAGGAAGGAGAATATAGGCTCACAGATATGTGCCTTGGGATCTGGGTAAATGTCTTGACCGTGTTTAAAAATAAGCTCCACCCATCTTCACTTCTCAAAACAAGCAAGAGAAGTGAGTTTCGGGAACAGAGAATTTTCATCCCAGGTGTACCATGGTCACAAAAAAAAGAAAACTATGATCACTTTCAAACAAGTTGTTCTGAAAAATTTAGCATGCTGTACTGAACAAATTAGCATGACTGACAAACAAGAAGTGGATGAAACTAGAAGAAATCGAAAGTGTTTCATCCATACTGAAGAACTCAAAACGAACATTAAGAATTACAAGGCAGGTTTTTCTCTCAAAATGAAAGGACACAGCAGTATGGAGCGCATTCACCAGTTTAGTAATCGCTAGACAGTAACAGAACCAGAGAGACTAGGACACCTTGCAAGTTTAGAACTACAATAACAAGCAAAGAAGAAAATAAAAATTTTAATTTTCAAAAGCAACAAACCTCTTATTGCCGCAATTTTGTTAGGGTCCAGTGTTCTGCGCTCTCGCGCACTCACTCCCATAATGCTACACAATAATGTTTCCTTGGGGAACAAAACACGGACCAAGTAGCGTGCTGCGTACTTTGGCTTAGTCTTTTGCCGAGCTTTCATCAAATAGTTTCCCAGAACTTTTACATTTCTCAGTGGGTCACCAACATACTCTTTTACAAAACAAAAGCAATGAAAGAAAAAAAAAAGTCACTGAATTGTTAAAAAGGAGTATTTTTTCAAACTGCTTCTTCTAAGATACATCCAGCTACACATAAGAAATTCTCGACAAGCGCTCTCTAGCGCAACTCATTTTACTATATATGAATCCTTACACATACTGAAGACAGAAGCAGCTTTAAATTGGAATGATAAAGAATTAGCTCTCCCATTCATGTTAACCACCAACATAGCTAACCAAAATCATATTACAAAAGAAAATACATTTAAATGTAAAGAGGTCCAAGTAGTCCTTTTTGCATATGTGCAGATACTGCCTTAATTGTGTAGACTTTTAAAGACAGTGACCCATGAAGAATGGCATCTGGCATATCCATAGATAGCACTGCTAAATCACCCACTGTATACAAACTCAGACAGGAATATTTGAGCATTTCATCTACAACTCATTTAGCTCTTCAGCTGTACAATGTATTAGGCTTTAAAATGTACTTCTATTTTTGCATGTGCTTGTTATAATGCAGTGACCTGTGGAATTCCTCATTTTCTGTGGAGTTAAATATTTCAAAATAAATCAAATATTGTAGGAATTGAGGATGAAGAAAAACTCATAGATAAGGTGCTCTGCAGGAAGAAAACAGGTACTTTCTTCACACAAATTGGTCGTTTTCTTAAAATGTAGAACAATAATACAAATCATATGTCTCACTAAGCTTTACTAACAATCTGATACGTCTTTTTAAAATACAGACATAGTATGCGTTATATTACTGATAACATAGAAACTATTTTGACCTGTATACCTCAAGAGTACTGAGAAAGCATGCAGCACATACTGTGAACCAAAGCCTTTCTGTTATTCTACACAACTACATATACACTGTACTTTAAATTGATTTCTGGCATATTAAACATTCCTATAACAATATTTGTATAATGGAATAATATTTTAAATTCTTTAAATAAAAGGCAGCTAGTTCTGCTTCTTCACTTCTGTCAAATAATGATAAATGCATCTATTTAGGCTTTTTTAGATTTTTTTTTTTTTAAATAAGCAGCATTTTCATTTTCAACCTACTCTTCTGATCACAAAGAACTCACCAAAGCTAGGATTGATTGAGACGGAAGAAGACGGCAGCTCTTTGCTAACATTCCCAGATCTGTCTCTGTAATTCACCTGCACACCGTTATTTTCCAAACTGGTCTCAGAAGATGGCGTCATCACTGATGATGTCCCTGGTGAAGCTGCAATGTTGACCGTGCTTTCCACAACGGTGGTTTTCACACTTGATAGTGCAGAAAGGTCAGGGATGCCGTTAGTTGCCGTGTATGGTGAATGCAATGAATGAGTAGAAACTATCGTGGGCAGCGGTGGGCTCTGCCTCAAAACAGGCTGCTGCGATTCGAGTTGAAGAGTCTGTTGAATACGTTTTATTGAGTTGACCTGAACGTGGCCCTTCTGCAGAGCAACCCTTATGACAGGGCTATGCCTTCCCTGGCCCGGTGAAGAGAGATGAAGGCTTGATTCCCTGTCCATCGACTTCGGTACTCCAATTTTTCCCTGGGGCAAGTGACTGGAGCTTCTGTATGCAAAGCCAACTGGTCTCTATGAATATGATTCAGAAAACAATTAAAAGGTTAAATATCGATCTTTTTTTCCCTCCAACAAACCAGAAAGTTTATTTTTTCCACCACTGGTAACACTCATCATTTAAGTATCACTTTCAAGAAAGTGCTATTTCTTTTCTCTCTCCCTTAAGTTTCATTTAGACATGAGCAGTATACTGTTCAACTTGTAAATTTCTCAATTTTTTTCCAATGCACTAACACAACCGCCTTCTAAAATACCAGTTAAACGTATAATGAGGAAGACTGCTTTATGAAGGGTTTGTTTGAGTTTAATTAAAACAAACAAACAAAAATCAGACATTGTCAACAATTGCCATAGCTCACTGAATTCTAAGTGGATATCCTCCACTGCAACATTAACTTCTTTTCAAATGGAAATGATCAAGACCTATTTATTTTTTGTCTCCAGGTTGCCTCTTCATTACTTACTTGCTAGCTGAAAGCATAACTCATTCAGATTTTAACTAGGATAATTCCAAAGGGTATTAAAACAAAACAAACAAACAAAAAACAAACACACACAGAGAGAGATGGGTTTCTAGATTAAAATAAGTCACTGAGGAAGAGTTACCAAACATACACAGTTTTTACAGTGGCCTGATTATATTCTATCCTTAGAATCTCTAAAAATCTCTGTCCTGAAGAAAGGTTAGTGGACCTGAAACTTTGTCCATTTTGCCAGCAGTGTTCACGTAACTTAACCTGAACATTAACACAACTACCCATCAGACGGGACAGTAAAAAAGCAGAAGCCATGGAGATTTGAGTGTGGCTGTCAGGATCAGGCTCTCCCCAAGGCAAGTATTTTGGGATAAACCGATAATACAAATTTGGAGTTATCAAGACAACAACAGAAGTAACAATTCCCAAGCAAAACATAATATCCCATTCATAACTGATGTGCATGAAAATGTCACCATTTTCCCCCCAAATTACATACTCTTACTGGCAATTCTGGGTGTCAGTAGATGTAGAGACGTCTGCCACATAAAAAGCTTTTCAGTGTGGTGGACGAAAGAAAGGTCATCATGGCTTCCATGATCTTCTCAAAAATTATCCATTATGTTTTTCTTTAAGGAGCATTAGTTACTAGTACTAACATTCTGTCTCTTCAGTTAACAGCAGATTAAACATACAATAAAAAAAATGCATTGGGTGTACTCAGCATCATGCTTTCTTAGAAACTAACCAAACAAAAAACGCCCAGCATTTTACTAGAAAAAGCACAAACAAAAAAAAACAATTTTACCATAACAGACATGACACCACAGTGCTGGGATATAAAAAACAATTAGTTAACTGAAACTTTCCTCCGACTGCAGAAGTGAAGGGATCAATGAGACAGTAATACTATACCTAGTAAAGCAGTAAAACCACTTTGAAGCTGGTCATGCTATACCAGCATACTCAGCCTGAGAAATAAAACGGGTCTGTCTCTTCTGTCACTACTGGTAAGAGTTTCACAGCATCTACTATGGCATCCAAATTTGATGCTGGCCACTGGCCATTCCATGTGTCAGTAAGGACACAAGAGATTGAAGTCAGGGTATAACAATAATAAAAAAAAAATCTACAATAACCTAATTGAAATGGATTCTAAATCTACTAGTTTGCTACTAATTTTAATCTCAGTGTAAGGAAGGGAAATTTTTGAGCATCAGCAGAAAAAATAGAATTAAAAGAAGAAGAACTTTTTAGGTCTTTAATACTCACAGGTTTGAGCAACAGTGGCTTCACACGAGTATGCTGCATTTCTGAGACCTTTTGATGAAGGAGGTCAAATTTTTTATCCAGTTTCTGAATGGCATCATACATGGCCTGACAAAACAAACAAATAAAAAAACCACACATACACAACACACAAAGTTGAAAATAATATTGTTTATTGCAAGAATCCAATCTGAAGTTTGATTAAGGCAAAATACCTTCCCTAAAACTGGGTAAGATTCTATGAGCATATTAAAAACTTAAGATATGCAAACAACAATAATAAAATAAATAAATAAACCTGAGGTGCTTACTTGATCCCGTTACTTTAACATAGCTGGCACTTACAGGCTGTTCTTCCTGCTTCCACTAAATGTTTTATTACCTCTAATATTTGGTACACTTCATTTTACATTGGAAAGCTATTACTGACAATCTCCAAGTAAGATGGGTATTATGATACATTATTTTAAGTCACAATAACTTTCTAAGTATGGTTAAAAGGCTTACAGGCAGTCAGTGAAATATTGATTTCTACATCACTATTGGAAAATGCATTTAGAAAAATACAAGTTCTAAAGTAAAATGAAAGGAGGTAACTGATGTATAAAGAAATTTATCTTAGTCCTACATCTCAGAAAAACAGCACTGAAATCCATTGCACCCAACTTTTTAACAATCACAGAATAAACAATGACAAAAACTGAAAAACTACTTATTTGACTGAGAGCATCTAATTGCCAGTCATCCATCCCCAAATTCATTAAGTTTTCTCTCAGAGGTTAAAAATTCTTGTTGCTCTATTTAACTAATCGGGTACAAACCCTTTAAAAATATCGTCCTGAAGAACTAAATTCTCAGACATAAAAGACAATAAATCAAAGCATTCAAAGCCCACCAGTTATCAACACACACCGCTCCATGACTCAGGAAAAGTTCCTTCTTCAGTATTTCTAGGATTTAACAACTCAAACTAATACTTACACAGCAATTTAGATATGCCATGACTGAATAAAGAAGATAAAGAATATTAATCAATATCAAAAGCCAACTTGAAAAACTCATACCAGGCACATGTCACTTTTTTGCACTAACAGCTGGTAAGGCCATTATAACTGAAAGACTTATAAAAAGGAAATGTGTATCTACAGCTAAGTAAAGCAATTATTTGTGTGACTGATCTACTCCTTAACCACAGAGAAAGTCTTAAAAATACATATGTCTATGAAAACCACAAAAATTGCAGGAAGGACTCAGTAGTAGACAAAGAATCTGCAACTATTTTCAGCTTCAGCAAAATAATTGCTGGGCCTGAAGATCATAGCTACCTTTAAGATTTATTATTCCTAGACAAAGAATCTATACATCTTCTGGAAACTTACTGTAATCTCAAGGAAGCTCTGGAAGGCCTTAAAAACGTATGGGGAACCAAGGCAATATTGGGTGACTTTGGGAAACCCTAATACATACTCACAAGTTTGGAGGAAGATTTACTTAGAGGAGGGGGATACTAATAGGAGTAGGGAGAAGAAACAGGGATATTAGACAACAGCAGAGGCTGTAGTTTCTCACTAACACTACCTGTTACAGTAAGTACATTCCCAGACAAGTATGTGTATTACTCCATTTTCTTCTACACATTGCTGGATATATCCCTAATGAGACTTAGGAGATATTAATAGCTAGCTACAAGACACTCAAAAGTTATCCTGTCTAGAGCAAAAGACATTCACACTGCACTTCAGAATTGGGCAACTCTGGTCTTTGCAAGTACTCACTACATAAATAAAGGATGCTTTTAGTTTTCCACCAGTACAGTAATATTCAATCTTGACAATTACCACTTCATAAGTCATAAGCAAAGAATTCACCAAAACCAACATAATCAGGACTCTGGCATTATTTTAAAAGCAAGTATCAGGTACTTTCAAAAACCAGGGGAACTAACAGTCAAATCTCCCACATTACCATAAAGCCCTTCACAAGTCACTAGACTTAACATTTTGTATTAGAGCTGAACATTTGAAAAGGCAGCTACAGATTACAAGTCTTCCTAAAATTTAACTAAAAAAATTGTTTCAGGGAAATTTCAGAGCAGGGGGAAAGATACCTGGCAATAGCTGAGGACCTCCATAAGAGTTTTCTGCAGGTCTCCCGTGTAAGAAGCTTCAGATACGATACTCCCCTTTTTCAGTGAAAATAATGAAAAAGAATGTAAGCTATAATTTCTACACAGCTTTAAGATATCACATTAAGCCAAGAATCCCAACTTCAAGCCTCACATACTATTTTATTCTATCCTAAAACATGCATCCCCAAAGCAAATTTACAAACTCAGTCAAAAAACAAACAAACTATAGCAGCATTAAAAAAAAAAAAAAACCCCGAACTTACACATTCATAGTCTGGTTCGTACTCATAAATGACACTGTCACTCTCTTCATATTCTCCTTCTGTTCTCATCTGGAAAATAACATTTAGAACTTATGTTCTGAATAATGAAAGAATTCAAAGCACAAAACTCCACAGAAAACTGGTTAAGAATCCAACCCGGCCTTTCAGATGTATCTATATTCCCTCCACTGGCTAAAAACAGGGCCGAGGAAATGAAACTTAACCCAAGCATCTCATTATTACAGGCATGGTTAGGCCATTTGAATACTCACTTCATTTTTGGTTTAATAGTTTTTTGTTTTATATAAAAACACATGGTATTATATAAATTAACAACAGATTTATTTTGTTATATTGAGAGGTCAGAATTTTGTCAGCTTAGGAATTAAGTCGTTAACATGAGCCTCCACAAAGATTTTTACTCTAATTTAAATAAATCTATTCAAATCCTACATATTTATTTCAATGGGTATAATTCTGCATGCAGATATTGCAAAAACAACCAATTCACCATCTAAACAAAATATATTTTTTTCTGCATGAAAACTGCTTCTGGATAGGAACCAACAGTGCCACCATCTGGACAATTTTTACCTTTTTTTTTTTTTTTTTTAAATTGATGAGAGCATTTCCTGCCCAGCATATATGATGAATTTTGTAATTTGGTCTTGAATTCATACTTAGTCCAGCCTAATTTAAAGAATAAGAAGAAAAAAAAAAAAGGTTAAAAATTGTACAACTGGCAGAACGTATGCAATCTGTCCTTGAATTGTTGACACGTAATGTTGCATAAGGATTTGCCACTAATTTACACAAGGATTTATTTACTTCTAAATAACAACATCCACATGGGTTATTAGCACAACGACTTCCCTGTTTGGACTAACTGGTTTTATACATATGCATAGTACCCAGCACAAGGCTTTATCCTTGCTAGGTGCTTCCAGGCACTACATGCTACATTGATATCCCACTCCATACTTCTTCACAATGATTTCATGGAATAAGGATGGGCTAGAGAAGAAATGGCATTTCCAATAACATTGTTCTGGTCTCAAAATAAAGTACTACTGTTTGGCTACACATACCACATTTTGTCGCACTAGAGTAGGGGCAAATCGTTTTCTTTTATTATGTGAAAACACATAATCCATTTTCTCCGGGTTGTGAGCATTTCCTCTCTGCATACTTGCAGAATGGCTCATCTGTGATACCACTGAGAAGCCTTCACTTCCTGCAAAAGTGGAGAGAAAGCAAAGCACATCAGCAGGTTTCTGACACTGAATTAAATATTTGGCTAGAAAAGCATGCAGTCACACATTTCTTAACTTTAAATCACTTGGTTAGTTGAGATCTGTTTACTACCATATTATTAAACACTTGCTAATGCAATTTCTTTAGATTTAAAAATCAGAAGACTGAAACTAACATTCTTTCTTCCAAATTCTCTCCAGCTTCCCTTTCCACTTGACTTCATTTTCAATCCCCACCTCCGTGTCCACCTATAGCAAGTTAAAAAATTAAAAACCCCAACAAAACCAACAAACTGAAATTCTGTCAATGTGCTTGCAATGCAAAACATGGCTCCCACTACTGGTATTTGCTCAGTCCTCATCTGTCTCTTCCCCTTTTATGATTTTCCCCCCGCTCTATGGTTTTGTCATTGAATGACTGTGCAGTGAAGTGATCCAGTCCTGTTCTCTCCTCTGTTGAGTCAACTGTGTAGAGCTGGGATCCACAAACACAAGCTACTCACACCTGATACACCACATCCAAGCAACTATCATCTTGCAAAAAAAAAAATTGCAAATACCTCACCAAATAACATCTGATAAATTTTAACTGATGTGTATAGCTGCAAACAAACAACCTGGAATATGCTTAGTTTTAAAGATTCTGCAAATTAAATAAATTTTTCCATAATTAACTGGAAGAAAAAAAAGATTATGTATGTGCATATATATATACTACTGCATCCTGAAAGAGGCAGGATCCTCTTGTCCTTCATTTTATCATGGACAAACAGCTAAGCTGTAGAGCTAGACCACCAGTACGTTGTAAATGGATTCTGAAGGGACAGAAAGAGGCCTAAAAATAAGGATGTGAGAGGGCGATCAATGTATACTGTAGTCCTGGCCCACAAAATTATTTCAGGGCATGGACTCTTCTCTTAAGAGAGTCTGCATATTACTCAGTATAAGGAGTCTGTGTAGTACAAAAATAGGGCTCTAAGGCTGCTGCTTGAAGCTTGCCATGGGAACACAGGCAAGGGGGAAGCTGGAGAAGGTACCACTGCCACTCCTTGGAGACAGAGGTGGACTAGGATCCTTCATGCTTAACTTATAAATATAATTTAAAGTAATACAGTCTTTAACAAAGGAACTCTCTCTTCCCTATTTTCCTCCTTGATTTCTGTATGTTTTTGCTAAAGACTGAGGCAAGCACTACATAAAGAACAACTGTGGAAGGAAAGATGTTGAAAGACAAGGAAGACTTGAACTACATGAGATCTTGAAACAGTTCACAGAAATCAGCATAAAAGACAACACCAAGACTCAAACCATTCTATCTGCTATAAAAGCTTTTTGGAAATTAACCCAGGTTGAAGTAGTATGTGGGATGACTTTGTGGATACTTGCATTAAGTTCCTCCAAGTAAAAGGGGCAATATAAGAAAAAGCACATAGGTACTTATTACTTTTACAAAATAATGGAACTGACTTCATGGCCTGACTACAAGACAGAAGCAATATCTCAGAAGTGAATGAGGAGAATAACAATCCAATGGATAGAGTCAAGCTATAACAACACTGAAAGCAAAGACAGCAGCCTTGCATACCAGAAGAGGTAGTGCCAGAGACGAGATAGAAAAATGCTAATATATTTAACACCAGTGTAAAGAGACCTTTCTTTGCAGGAAATATCCCTATCAGTATTTCTTGATAAGTCAAAACTGCATATGCCAGTATCATTTGCAAAACAGAAAGTTATTTCATTGACTCGTATACAAGTGACAAGAGCCTGGATAAGAGCTGTAGCAGAGCTGAGGGATGCTGTACAAAAAATCTGCTATTTGACTATACTAACTTAATTACTAAATGTCATTTGTTATCATGACATTAATGAGAAAAACACTGCTGAGTATTTACTCTCTTGAGTGAAGATTACAAGACTGAGCCACCCCTCCCTTTCCCACCCAACTCTGGAGACCGCTTCCCTTCCCAACTAATCCCACATATCTATCCTTGCCACACAGACCTAGCTAATGTTCATCTAAACACTCCAGAACTAGAGTCTGGGACTTAGCTGCCTTCTGTGGGGCAAACACTGATACAGGCAAGAAAGCATACTGAAGGCATGAAGGGTGCAAAGCAGCAGGATTAGCACCAAGACATAGCAAACTCCCTCGAATACAAGATACTTTCTGAGACCAAAGCAGAGTTGTGTTAAATAAGCTAATCAACTTCCTGATTAACCAGTGTAATTTAGATTGAGACCTAGATTTGAGTGAGAACTTAAACAGAAATGCTAAAGTGGTGCTCAGTTTTTAGGTCATGAATGGATGAGTAAAAGACCTAATGGTGCTGTCCTGCTGCATAGGAGAAAAATAAGGATGTAGATCTGCATCTCACTGATGCTGAGCTTTCTCTGTCAGCTCAGTACCTGTAAGTAAGAAGATACAAGCCTAAGTGCAACAAGCTTGCACAGACAGAACCAAATCTGGCGAAAAGGGACTGCTCTACAAAGTATCAACCTAGGAGGGCGGTTGAATAAAAAAAAAAAAAGCTGAGAAAATTTCTGTACAAATAGTACACCATCTCTTGCTGATAATGAAACAATTATTTATTTCCTGAAACCTAAGCAAATAACAGCTTCTTGGTTGGGCTTTTTTGCTCTTAAACAGAGCAAAGTGTACAGAAAAATTAGACTGTACTCTACTGGCAAGTAGAAGACATGAAAAAACTTTTCAAAAGCATATACTGACACTAGAGAACAGATATATGACTTGACTCTGCTGAGGAGAAATACTGACAAGAACCTCTATAATATCATCTAATTGAAAAGAAAGATAATAAATTTTAACATTACAGATATTCTCCTTGCTAACTTTGTAATGCTGCTGCTGGACTTAGTTTAAATGCTCACAACAGATACAGTGATTTCAAAGCAGTTGTATTTTTTTAGCATTCAAAAATCAAAGTCTCTCTGAAATTTATTTTTCAAATCACATACTAATCATTAGCTAATTAATTCTTAAGTAGACATAAGAAAGTCTCCATTTAAGCATAACATTTCAGTGAGTTTACTAAGACCTTTGAAGTAAACAGGTAAGTAGCAGCTCATTTTTAATGTCACTGCCAAACAATTTCTACCTTTTTATTAAAAGCATTTTACAGATATGGGTAGCAGAAAACATTAAAGACATCAGCACGAACACAGAGCAAAAAGACTTGCTACCCAGTAGCTACTGGATCACAAGAAGTGTACTCTAATTACCATATGCAAGGTGAGCCACATGGTGGACATCACTGTTCTCTTCCAAGTTTTCTTCCATTGACACGCAGCTTTGTGTGGACACCCCGTTTTCTCTATCTTCCACTTCAGAATTGTCAATAACCGCTGCTTCAACGTCATCCCCAACGCTCGCAGAAACATAATCTATTAGCATAAATAGAAAGAGAAAATATAAGACTGGGTACTATGCTGCATATCAGCTGTAGTACTTTTATCATATCTAAGATAACCTGAGTTATACCACAGCCTAACTTCAAAGAAATAGTTTCAGTTTGGTGTTTAAATGTGAAGCTACTTTTAAGCACAAAGGTCTTAAACACTTGCAGAGGAAGCAGCTTCCTACTGTGAGAGATTTCTGAAGACACTCTAACCTAACTCTTCCTATAGCATCCAATTTCAACACCAACAGCCAATACCACGCACTGCTGAAAGTTTCCCTATCATCTACATTCAAGTACCAACAGGGAAAGAATGACAATTGATTTGTTTTTGAAGTTATGCTTCCCTAAATAAAAATCTTAAATACATTTGAAGCAAATCAATCTACAAATGCTAAATGCATATCATTCATAACAAATCAGACACTGGTTCTCAATATGAGATGAAAGGCAGAAACACTGAAGGTGTATCTTCTGAAATACTTTTTTCCATTCAACCAAGATTTAAAATTTTTTCCAATTCCCAAGAAAATTCTGGTATCAGAATTCTTATATCTGGGATCTGACAAGGGAATTTACTTCCAATGAAAGAAATTAATGGAAAGAATCAAACAGTAAAGCACTGAAGTTAGGAAGTACAACTTAAATTCAGCTAGCACACATGCATAATGACACTAATTCTATGAACATATGCTGCATTTTCCACAGGATCTCTGCCTCATTCAGTGCATAGGATGGACTGAACTTCAGGGATGATTCAGGACTGTATAACGTGTGTAACAGTAGCTTGCTTCTTTACTTTTGTACAAAGATTTCACTCCAAACTCTGCTCCCTTCCCTCTACCCCAGTTTCTCAAGAGACCTGAAGTGGGGTGGTGAGGGAAGGTTCCGGAGGGGAAGGCTGTCTTTCACAGACTATAGTTTTTCCGCTTTGGTCAATGCTCCCATCTAATTCAGAAAAACACTGAAGCAGACAGGTGAGGATTTGGCTGTCACCAGATTAGGTAACACCACTTCAGCAACCAACAGGAGCACCTGTAAAGCTGATTCAGGTGGACTTGAGCAAAACATTTAAATACTTTTTTTGTTGACCCAGAGAGTTGTATCAAAGGGAATGAGTTGAGAGAAAGGTGAGAAATGTGCATTTGCAACAAAATAAGTGTGAATGGAAACGTATCAGCCAAATTCTCTATCAGTATGCTCTCATAAAAGAAAAGAAAGAATATTTTAAAATTTGCAAACCGTCCATGTAGGATTACGAGAATTCTATAGGCAGTTGCAGCTTTCTGATGTCCATGAAGGTCCATCAGCATAACTGGTTATTTCAACACTACAACATTGGGGAAGTTGCTACAAAACAGGTAGAGTCACACACGTTATACCTTTGGATATTAAAGAAGTGATTGGTGTTCTACCTGCCTTGACTCTTAAGTCAGTAGACTGATTTAAATGTTACAGCTGTAGCTTAGCTACATTTGTCACCAAGAAAATCTTAAAGGCAAAATAGACAAAACATTTTTCAGCTAAAAGAATTGTCAAC